AGCTGGTCTTACTCTAAAGCTACTCAGCAGTATGACGTCTGCTTCAGCTCAGACACGCTCAAGAGTGACGTAGTGGTTTTCCCCGGACCGTTTCCACCTGCAGATGCGGAGCTGATCAGTATAAACGGAGGAGACACTTATAACAGGACTCAGACTTTACCAAACAAAGAGAAGGTAAGGATAATACCTAGTAAATTATATGGATAGAGTTGTGATGTAAGCTTCCACAATTCAATTTCAAGAGAGATTTTACATTATTACTCTTTTTTTTTGTTCTTGTTTAGGCTTACATTTAATTTGCGTGAATGTCATACAGTGTCTGCACAAAATTAGCTTGACTTGTTTGTCATAATGTTTGACTTGGATCTCGATGGAAAAAAAATATGAATTTCATAATTAATAACTTGATATCACTCAAATGTTCTTAGACATAAAAAAATGGTGTCTAAACTCTTTATATAGGCGCAAGCATATGTAGAGCTATGCACTACGCTGTAAAGGTATAAGACACTGCGTCATGGTGGAGTATTTAAGTATTTGGTGGCAAAATCAACGTCCAACAAGTGACAAAGAGAGAAGGTGCAAGATGCTTGTGATAGTTTGTATGCATGGGATGTTGTCAATCATTTGGTTCTGCTAAGTATCGATCATCCACATTGTTTGCAGGTTAAAACTATGTTTAGTGTTCCTCTCAAATTAATTTTTTAATATAATCAATCAATATTTAGATCCTATTCCAGACCGACCCCGAGTGTGCTTACAATGATGCATCATTATTGTGGTGCTCTATCCATGGTCCTGAAATATGTGGTAAATGCAGTATAATATGCTGGGATTCCATTGTATTGCACGCAGAAATTAAGTAGCTGTAGTTTTTGTATTGTATTTCTGACTTGAGTGAATTAACGTCTGCAGATTTCTTGGAAAAATCTATATTTGCTTGTTTGTTTCAAAGCATTGTAGTTATTTTAAATGGCCATGAGGTGGCGCTATAGACCATAGAACCACCGGCAGGTTGGTGACGTTTAGAGGACCCTCCCACATTATACAGGGATCATCATTTGTGTCAGTGCTTTGTTAGAATGAGACGCAGAGCGCAAGAGAATAAATCGGGTGGCACATGATTTGATGTTTCAAACGATGTTCTGGTCTCAATAAGTGAAGACGCGTCGGAATACGGATCTATGTTTTGTTCTCCTTGTGTGGAATTATGCAGCTGCCGGGGAGAAAGCCTTATATCGGGACATATCTAGTGCTCGTTGTCTTGGAGTATAACTGGGGAGCGGTATCCGGGCAGCTCTCCTATTCCGTCTCAGAGGAGGTAAACCTGGGGACTTCTGTCGGAAATCTCGCCAAGGATCTGAGCCTGAACGTTCACGATTTGGAGTCACGTATGTTTCAGATCGTCGCTGGATCGAAGAGGAAATATTTCGATGTAAATTTGAAGTCAGGTTTTCTCTACGTCATTGAAAGAATAGACAGAGAAGAGCTCTGTGCCAAAGCGGCAAAATGTACAATAAACGTCGAGGCTGTGATAAATAATCCACTGAAACTTTACCGTATTGAAGTGAATATTCTCGATGTAAATGATAATCCGCCGTCTTTCAGTGCAAAATCTCAAACTATTGACATCGCAGAGAGCGTATTACCGGGAGCTGCATTCCCTGTGCTGTCGGCCTACGATGCCGATGTCGGGAAAAATAGTATTAACACATACAAGCTGAATGCCAATGAATATTTTTCTTTAGTGGTGCACAGAGGAGAGACTGTGTCAGCCGAGTTGGTTCTGCAGAAATCATTAGACCGAGAGAAGCGCGCTTTGATTAAACTCACGCTGACCGCTGTAGATGGAGGAACACCTCCGAAATCAGGCACATCAGAAATATTAATTAATGTTCTTGACAACAATGATAATATCCCAGTCTTTAGCAAAACTCTTTACAAAACAAGTATCACAGAAAATGCAGCACTTGGCACTACAGTAGTGGCAGTGACTGCTACTGATGCGGATGAAGGTCCAAACAAAGACATCGTGTATTTACTGAATTCGAAAGATCAAGACCGTGTCTTGGACATTTTTGAAATCGATTCTCAAACGGGGATAATAACAGTTAAAGGAAAGATTGACTTTGAAGCAAATCCTGCCTTTGAGATCCGCGTGCAGGCTGCGGACAAAGGTCAGCCTCCTTTAACAGCTCAGTGTAAAGTGCTCGTGGAGGTGGTGGACGTGAACGACAATGCCCCTGACGTCACGGTGACATCACTGCTCAGTACAGTGAGGGAGGATGTTGAGCTTGGTACAGCCATTGCACTTGTTTCGGTTCTTGACAGAGATGGGGGTAAAAATGGTGAAGTGAAATGTGAAATATTGAATGCGGTCCCCTTCAAATTAGAGACAAACTACAAAAACTATTATTCTTTAGTTATCGCCGGAGCTCTAGATAGAGAACTTGTTTCCCACTACACTATTACTATTAAAGCCACAGATGAAGGCAGTCCCCCTCTCTCTAACACAAGTGTGGTTATTGTTCAGGTTTCTGATGTCAATGACAACACACCTCGGTTTTCAGAGAGTGTGATAAATATGTATGTGGGAGAAAACAGTCCAGTTGGCACCGTTTTGAAAGCAGTATCTGCAACTGATGCTGACATAAGTGAAAATGGTCGGGTGAGCTACACATTAGTCAGTGACAACAATAAAGTGTTGTTGTCCACTATGATTAATATCAACTCAGAGACAGGAGATATAATCAGTCTGCAGTCGTTTAACTTCGAGGAGTTAAAAACGTTTCAGTTTAAAGTTCAGGCCACAGACTCTGG